TGAAAAAAGGCAAGGTTGACGCGCTGATTTGAAAAGCGTGCAGAGCTCCGCTGGGTTTACCGCAATACATGAGAAACGAAAGCATTCTACATCTTGGGGTCCTCAACACGCTGGGCTTAATCGTTGAAGCACAGGGGATAGCACAACTCGAAAGCTTGTACGGAACCAAGGCAGGCAGAAAATCCTGAAAATGTTCTTCATAAACTATCACGCAATGAAAGGCCCTGAGACGCAGGTTTATCCGGACGTCCAATGCATGGTAACTACGGAAAAGATCCCGACGAATATGCACCCTGTCCACAGCGCCGAGAGACAAAAATGCCACATGGAAACAATCCTATAGAGTCGAGGGGCATCGGAGGATGGGCTTTTTGTAGACACCACCTGGTATTTCCGAAATATGAATATCAGTGAAACAGCATCTCTCTCTCTCTCTTCGCAATGGAGTTCATAGACACGAAAGGTGAGACCATGACAATGGGTTCCGTAAGGACCCGTTAGATGGAGGCAGCCCGAGAACTGGTCATTTCACTGGCCGTAATAAACGGTCAAAAACAAGACAGATTAAAAACTCACAGTTTGCAGCAAGGGCGAAGCAATAAACGCAATGGCTACAAATTTAAAGACCCCACGTAGAATGCAAAGCAGATCGAAAAGCGATGCGCGTTTCTGGTGCACAAATGACACACAAAACGTACTCACAGGTACGGATGTATGCGAATGACCGTCTTGGTTATACTTTGCTGTGTCTAAAAAGCATGCGCTTTTCAAAAACGCAGACTGCAATGATGGCTGTGACCTTCGTGCGCCCCGCAACTACAACAGAATAATTCCAGGTAAAGCTTGAAAAAGCCCGAGGCCAGCCAAGACGTACGATCTTCCCTTCCCCCCTCCTCGGGGTAAGGGCATGCGAGGAAGCGTCGCTCTCCTTTTCTAAGCGGGGAAAAGTATGCGTGGGAGTTTGCGCCATTTTGCCGTTAATGCTGAAAACACAACTCTTCCCGAGATGCTCGTGAGCAGCGGTAAGTGCACGGTAGATATAAATAGCTTGCCATTTGAAAGGTCACGAACGTGCTCCGGGGTGGCTCAGTGGTTAACGCCTTGCTTTCAAGACGCATAGGTGGGGTGTTTTTTTTCATTGTTCTCTTTTTTGCGATTTCACATATGTAGAAACGTACAAATATATGGTGAGTGACAGCGACGCCTACACCGACACTGGCGGCAAAATCAAGCCGAGAGTGTCCATAAAATCACTATCGCAATAATAATCAGTGACTCCGAAATAGCCAGACGGCCATGAGAAATCTCCAAACGGGTGGGTCCCTATCAAAGCAGCCAAAATCTTGAACCACAGGGCAGACGACTTCAGGATCAGCAAAACTATACCAATATACCTCAAATAGATCTCGGTGCACATAAGGGAAGTATGCATAGAATACACGAGCATCCCTCCGAATATATACGAGGCCCAGCGTACCGAGCAAGAACTAGACCACCACCACTCCAACAGCGACGGCACCACGCTCTAATCACGGAAGGACTCCTATGAGGAGGAGATGGAGACAATGGAGGCGGTGCTAATGACGAATATGCGACATAAGACGACAGATACAGACTGGTCACGTACTAAAACATACTGGCACACTATAAGGAGAACAAGAAGAATACCCCCACCACACAAACTGCTAGACCGATATCGAGAAACAGACTGGCGAAGATTGCAGAGCAGATCCTTTTGAAATCGAGTACGCATAGAAACAGTAAATTTCAGGCAAACCCACAAGTGAGCTGTGACCTCTGTAAGCACGAACATGCGGTTAAGACACACATGCTATGGCAACGCACCAGGTCACGGTGATATACGGAGAGGGCACTATATGACCAGAACTTCTCGAAAAGCTGTGGCTTAGGGCGCTGACTGGTGTAGAACTGCACAATCAACTGGGGGCAAACTAGTGGCCTGGAAGGTGGTACGAAGGACTGCTCACCACACATAATATCCGGGTGGCCTGACCCCACGCCGGAAACTTTTCAGGGGCATTTTTTAAATGTGAAGCATTTCTTAGCATAATGAAAGCGCTTTTGTCGTCTATCTATCTATCTATATATTTATCTATCTATCTATCTATCTATCTATCCACGTCTGGGTGCTCTCACGGCCACCCCTTTCACTTAAGGTAAAGCAAAACTAGTACGCCATTGTAAGGTGGTTTCACGAGTACAAATCGCTGATCATCACAACAATAATGTCAATATTCCGTCGCTTACGTCGTAAAACACTTACCGCCAGGCAGTGGCACATACGCATGGATGGGTGTAAGCCGGGCTATTTCCACGGGCTATTTTTCACTTCTGAATGACACTTCATACGTACTCACGAACGGCGACAACACAGATATATTATTTTAACGCTTGAGCGCTCACATAAAACTCACATCAGCTGCGTTGACGCAATGAAAGCATGGAATAAATATTATCAGTCCCAGCAGGTATCGAACCTAGGCAATCTGCATGCCAATCAAGTGTTGTGCATCTACCACAGAGCCAAGTCAAGTCTGGAAAGGGCTTTTGAAATAGACTGTAATATTCGTGAAACGTCAATTAGAGTAGCAGTGCTCGCTATTGAATCCTTTATACAGTACATAGGTACTCCTTTTCTACAGCTGTCAGAACGGGCTAAGAATAATTGTAGTGACGCGCCATCCACAGAAACTCCCTTATCTAGCAGTTTGTAAGGCTGCCATCTTTGCTGGCACAAGCTCTACGTATGAGTTTACGGCTTCTGGTGCTGCTATGTTGCTGTTACCCAGGTTTCTGTTGGCATCCTTACACCACAGTAAACATACGACTGTTTAACTTATGTCTGTATAGGCAAAGTGTGTACATAATTTTGGTGTCATTTCGTACAATTTTTCTTAATAAAACTATCACAACAGACTCCACCCTTCATCCGCATGCTTCGCATACCATCCCTCCCCAAGGTACGTGATATCTGCCAAAATTTTTAATATTTTCTCTCGTCCGTTCATTACCACAAACCCCCTACGCTCTAATTACAATGTACTCTAAACGTCTGAACCTGAATTCAAAACATTTTCAAGACAAAACCTTGGTTGCGTATAGGGTTTCGAAGTTTTCTATACTGAGAATGCAGGGCTTATTTACGAGAACTCTGTTTACTAAATTCCTAATTATTCACCCGAGTGCCGTTCTTCATGTTAGACAGATGTAGTATAGATTATTTATGACATACCCGTTTTTTAGAAATCAGAAAATTACATCGAGATAATAGTAGTCAAATATCAAAGTAATCATGCCCATCGTTCACAAAGCCTGGTGTTACACCGGAAAAACTCGGGACAAGCAATTGAGAGACTTCGAATGACTAGCACGCATACGTGCGTAGAATCTGGTCAGAAAATTGTGCAAGCATTCTGAATATTGCCACGTTCCTTCCTCAAGTTTTGTTATCGCCCCGTTACACTGCACGTTAGTCTCAGTGCAAACCCCACCTGTAGTGTTCGAGAGGCTTCGCGACTGTAGAAGATCCTTTTGTTAAAATCACGCCCATGTCGCGAACATTGCAAATTATTCGGGAACCTACGTGACCGCTAGCGATGACGCTAGAACACTTGACGACACTGGTATAAAAGCCGACGCGCTTCTTCGCTAGTCAATTGATCGACAGCCAGCGCTCTGTCCACCCTATTGGTGGCATCGTAATACTGTAATCTGTCTTTTCTTTTACGTGGCCGCAAGTTCGGCCGAACAAACAATTTATTTGAAACATCTAGTCTGCTTCATTCAACCGTGTCGTGACCCCGTTTCAATATACAAGTGAACAGCTTAATGCTTGCCTTTGATTGGTTGGGCGTCTCTGCTCCTTTTTTATTCCATAAAGAGGGGCGAAAATTAGAGCAGCCTTAAGCTTTGCATTTAGGGGTGAACCGAAATACAGATATCGTGTTCCTCGTGCGTACTTCAACACTTAATGAAATAAATTTTTTCGAACTTGCTATGCACTCACTACGTGACCTTAAGAAAAGTGGTGAAGTAACGTATATGGCTTTCGCCGTGGGTGACTGGCTTTAGACTATGGAGTCATTAAGATAATTCTTGTTCTTTTACTCGGTGGCCGTGTACGCTTGTACCATGCTTCATCATTGCAATATTTCATGTTGTATCATAAATCTTGTATACAGGACACTTGCGTCTGCAAAGCATGAAAGTTGCTTTCACTGCATTTCCAAGTAGAGGATGATATTTTCACGCTGTCTTCCGGGAGGCCGTGGCTCTGTGGTAGAACACAAGCTTTCCACGTAAACAAGCCGGGTTCTAACCCCACAAATACTCGGAGTTTTTTAATATGTATTTGTTTGCAACATTTTCAATTATTCGGTCACACCCAACATGATGACTTTTTGTCAACGCACAAAATAATTTTTCGTTCCCAACCAATGACGCCAAAACCGACGCAGAATGTCTGCAAAAAAAGATCTTTAATGCCATCACGTTAAAAATATTTGACCCATCTGCAAAAAAGAAGCACTCCAATAGCGGGGACTGGGGTTATCCTCCGAAAACAAAGAAAAGGTTGATATTGTGGTATTTTTCTGCATAGTTCAAAACAAACGGATCAAACAAACGTAACAGACTGAAAGGTCGCACTTGGTGCGTGCCAGGAGGATCCGTTTTGATTTTGTCATTAAAGTTCTATGACGTACACTTCAAGCTACGTGCAATTTTTGTGAAAAAAAACAAGCATGTCGTAAGTTGACACACACTACAGCTTTTCATACAAACAACTGCCCTCAAGTAAATCATTACAAAGTTGTTTAAGAGTTTTTGTTAGCTATTCACAAGAAGGTCCTTTTGACTGTGCAAAGTATTTTCGCGTCGACGTGGAGTGTGCGTACAAAAATGGCCGGAGTCGTTAGTGTCGCAGTCTTTTTTTTTCGTTCTACATTGTCTAAATAAACTCTGTGTATAGTAACACTTACGTGTGCTACCATAGAACATTTCTTGAACAGCGCAGTGCTTATAGTCTGTGCAGTATAATACACTGCTTCCTTTTTTGGTATCTGTAAAAAAACAAAATTTTGTAATTAACGATTTCAGTTATTAGACACGAAGGCTCTTGTAACAAAAGCCTCAAAGCCAATCAGTCAAATAAAATTTTGCACCACAGCTTGGTAATGATAAGCCGCGGTAGCTACCTATAGCTTATGCATCTACATGAGAGGTCACCAAATACTTTTTAATGCGAAACATTTCTTTGCACGCGTCAAGCACCATTAGTGTGTTTATCTAAGTGTCAATCCATCTATCTACGTGTATATCCAACATCAGTGTTTGCTGATTCAAAGGTTAAGGTAAGTGTACGACACCACATGTGCTATGAGCAGAACGTTTTTCAATTGTTGCCGATAGGCACCGTGCACTCGTATATTTTTAATGCAGTGCGAAAGCACAAAGCGCAGTGAATTAAAACGCAATAATGGGAGTTGCACGGTCAAAATTGAACGCGATGCACGCACCTCTATCCCTGCATGAATGGACGGATTATGGCAAAGCAACATGGCGGACGCTTTGCATGCCCCTAACGGCAAATGTCAACAGATTCCGGACAGGAAAGTGCGAGCGACGCAGCCCTCTCTGGTCAACTTACTTCATCTATGACGCCAAAACGTCCGACTACAATTTATCGCTAAAAATAGAAGCAGCTGCAGTAAAAAAAAAAACCTTCCATGCACAACAGCGCCTGATGAAAGGATAATTGTTCGTTCTTGTTTTATTCATGAAGAAAGAACCACATCGCGTTATCGTGGGGAATAGTGTGAGTTGTTTAAAAGTTTCCTTTTCACCTGGTTAGGCTGTATGGGCTGCGCCATTTAGCGCAGTCCAGTTGCACCAAGCAAGCAGAAAGTTGTTCAATAGCTGTTACTGCTGCTGTGGCTTCCCCTAATCTTGCCCTGCTGCTACTGGCGTAGGCAGCCATGCCGTAAATGTAGGCGACGCTGGACAAGGCAGTGGCTACGTCGTGGGGTCCCTTTTCAGGCGGTTGGTTTGAAGTGCAATAACACCACGTGGAGCACTATGACATGGTTTGATTTCAAAATAGGCATTTTCTTTGCACAAAAGTAGCACTACGAGGTTTCTAGACTGCTATTTCTCTTGTGTCGGGGTTGAGCTGGCCGTGACGCTGACGAACAAAACCGATGAAGCGCCGAAGCACGCCGATGCTGCCGGTGGTAGCCACCCACAGCTTGGACACGTTGCGCCGTTAGAAAGAACATATGTCTCGCACGACGGCTCTTCACCAAGTGATTAATTTTCAACTATGCACACATACGCCTTATTCTAGCGGTGCATGTTACATACATCACTGCCGTGCGAGGTGCCTCCTCGCCACTGGATCACAAAACAAACCTAAACGGACCATCACAACACAACATCATCCCACCCTCTGGAAAGCCCGTCATAATAAAGTACAATTGACCAGTATACCTAGCTCAGCACATCGAAGAATACACAGCACACTAACATAAGAAGAAATAGAAAGTAGAGCACACTAACAAATCAACAGGTAACACACCGCAAATGTAAAACAATGGATCCAGGAGAATACAATATAAACAATGAAAAAAATAAAAGCATGCACTCAACATTGCACAGCAAGGCGCCATGCCAAATGCAGTACTGCGTCCCATCATATTCTCCCTAGAAATAGAATGTATGCTCAGTGAGCGCCATGTTTCAGTGTGCGGCATCGATGCCTCTACCGGTGCCGTTTCTGCGACAGGTGTCTCAGGTGCTGCCAACGATACCACTTTGGTGGAACGAGGCAGTCGGCCCATAAAGATTCCTTCCTGTGCAATTTCGGCATAGTGGGTGCCGAACACGCAGGTCGTGATGAGGCGGGTATTTGGGATGAATCGGCGCCTCTGATGCACAAGCCGTGCGGAGGGAAGGAACGGGCATGGTCAGTGACACCTCGACCGGTGAAAGCACCTCTACCGGACGCACAATAGGGATTGCGTCTGAAGGCCCGGTGGGAACGGTCGGCCGATACATATCCAGTGGCCGTAGAACAGCAACAGTCTCCCGGATGTCATACCCGGTCATAGGAACCTCAGCCGGAACATGAGTAGGAGCAGGCAGAATGGAAGTAGCTTGCTCAACTGAGGTATGGTCAGAAGGAGGTGCATCGGGAGCACGGCACAGCTCTGCTGTCACTTGCTCACGGAGCAGAAGACAAATCCGTCGAAGCTCAGTACAAACTGAACACACATCAGGTGGACGCAGCGCTTATGCACAAGTCGCGCACACAATTTAGTTCATGGTTAAACAGTGAATTGAATTTACTGAGTGACATGGCAGGAGAAGGTGGTTCAGATGCTGTATGGCAACCAGCCACATTTGAAATGGTGACAGTATTTGCTTAACCGCTACTCGAAGTAGGTGAACAGACTACATCATGAAGTGGCGAGAATTCTAGACAGGCTGATAATATCCGAGCTTACCACACGCGGGACAAGTTCGATTCCCAGCCGCACACTGAGAAAAATTCGCTAAAGAAAGAAGAAGAACGTAATCTTTAATGCCGAATCAAAAAGACTTGTGTTTGGCGTTTGTTTAGCGAGTTTGGGCACCCACCGGGAATGCGGTTCCGACACCTTGCATCGAAGCGGCTTCTTCAACACACTGGATGGCACAGAGTTGCGCTGTCAGGTTCGAGTGCCAGCGTCCGCTCACAGCGCGAGTGGAGGCTGACGGTAGAAGATAGAGAGATGAATCGGCATTCAAATTGTGTATTAGGCCCTTACACTGCCACAGCAGGTTATCAAGAGTTGCAACTTCGCCACACGATGTGCATCTGTTTGTAGTGTAAATATCTGCATAAGCGTGCATTATTCTGATGTTTCTGTATGAATCTGTTTGCAATTGTCGGAATCGTACCATTTGCATCTCGTTAAGGCTTTTGTAAGAGGATAAGTATAGGCGTCTCATCGCTGCTATTGTGTGATGATATCGGGAAACCTGACTATAGTTATAACGCGAGAACAAAACGACGATACAGAGACACGAAGGGGTCGAAAGACACGAGCGCTCATGTCCTTCGTCTCCGTCTTGTCTCTGTGTCGTCGTTTTGTTCTCGCGCTATAACTATCGTCATGCCATATCAACTATCCCAAGCTGCCACACATCGTGAAACCTGGTCATACGATCCTCCCACGCTCAGGTGTTTGCAATACCTAGCGGGGGCTCGTCTTCCTCCACCGATGCTCGGTGAGTCAGGCCTCGAAAAACGGGGTGAGCAACTTCGTTGGGGTTGCTCAGTCCAGTGTGTGCCGGGATCTACCAAAGGTGCCTTCGGTTATCAAAGTCGAGCTCTCCGGTATGTATAAGATGTCGCTGGAGTCGGTGAAGCGCCTTTTGTGAGATCCGCCCGTTGTTAACATGGTGCAATTGCTAATCACGTGCGTGGCCTTGTTCTCCGTGCGGGATAGTGCTACAGCCACTTCTTCAGCCGCTAAAGCGTGTGCCGGGTTCACAGTAATGCTCATGATGTATTTCCCACGACTGCTGGTAACTACCGCCACGAAACGTTTTCTTTGGGTATAACGCGCTGCACCACTGAAAATTGCTTCGGTGTCGTTGGAGTAACTTAGGGTAATGCGTTGTGCCCTGGCTTTACGCCATGCCGTATGGTGTTGGGTGTGCATGTTTTGAGGCAATTAGGAACACGTATACTTGTTCGCGCACCATTCTTGGAATTTCAACCTTGATTCCATGCTGCGTACGGTATGTGAATCCAAATTTGTCGAGCACGTGTCGGCCCGAGCGGGCCTAGGATAGGTGCTCGAGCTGGGAAACTTGTTGCACCTACACGAGTTCTCCGAGAGTGTTGTGCAACCCTGGCTCTTGGAGTTTGCTGGTGCTAACTCCGGGTGCCAGTCTCAACGTGACTTGGTACGTCTTGTGTATCAGGGCGCTAAGCTTGTCTTTTTCCACAAAGGTCTATATATAAAACGGTGCCGTGTGCATTATTTGTCAAATGGCAAAGGCTTGTATGAGTCGTAAGACTTTGCCTTCGCGTATGCCCGCATGTTTGTTCATAATGTGTTGGATGAGTTGCATCGTGCCGGTGGCCTTCGCGTAATCTTGCGCAGTGCTTGGCCATTGTCGCCCTTCTGCTCTATGATTATGCCCAGTACCCGGATATCCTTTACCATTGGGATTCGTGAGCCTTTTGATGCCGTCAATTTGATTTCTTGTGTTTCTGACGGGACTTAGTTCTTGGGCGGGCGTCCCTTTCTGAACGGTTTATATAGCAGTAATTCAGATTTTCTGACCTAGCAAGTGAGTCCCGTGCCCATGAGGTAGTGTACCACCCATTGTATGGTGACCTGGGAGCGATCCTAAATCTCTCCGTGACTGGCAGTTGTCGTCCAAATTGTAATATTATATTTGTATAGCATGTGGTGCAGTCCATCAGTTTGATGTAATCGTTCGGGTAACCCCAGAAGGACGAGATTGAAGAGCGTTGGTGAGATCACCGAGCCCTGTGATCTGCCCTAGCTTCAACTATTGTTTCGATTTGATTATAGTGTTCCCACTCGCTTGCGTGTGGTTCTTCCCGTATGGAAGTCCCTGACGTAGTTGTACACTCGCATTACGATATTCAGCTTGTCTAGTTGTCACAACATGGCATCGCGGCGACTTTTATCACAGGCCTTCATCAGGTCCAGGCCGAGGATGGCTCTTGTTGAGCAGCCAGGATTTTTTATGATTCGATGTTTCAGTTGCAGAAAGACGTCCTGTGTGGAGATATGTCTTGTGAACCCAATCATTGTGTGTGTAAAAAGGTTGTTGTCCTCGAGGTATTCCGTGAGTCCATTGAGAAACGCATGCTCCATTCCTACACACGATGACAGAGGGATACGGCGCACGTTCTCCAGCTGCACTTTCTTGCCGGCTTTTGGTATATGTATGGCCTGTGTTTCTTTTCATTGCTGGGGTAACTTTCCACACACCCAACAGTCATTAATATAGTCTGTGAGTTTCTCTAGCGATCTGT